CGAGCCAGCCGCCCATAACGCAGCACTTCCGGCCAATCTCCTCGACGACAACTACAACAACGACGACGACGACGACGACGACGACGACGACGCGACCTTCCTATCACCACACTATTCCTGCTACCGTTACCGCCGTCCCTGTGCCCGTACACCCGACATCGACATCAACACCCTCCAAGCCGGCGCCAGCGGCGGCGGCCCCGCCTCCACCACCTGTCCCTCCCCAGAGGACAGCAGACAAGTCCGCCCCACGGACCGATCGAAACATCGACAAGGTGATGCTCGGCAACATCTGCTTCCGGGCGTGGTACCCATCCTACTACGGCAAAGAAGTCCTCGGCGAGGCCGCGGGTGCAAAAACGGGCGGCGGCGGGAGCAAAAACCCCCTTGCACACGACGCTGCCAGCGCAAACAACAGCAGCAACAGCAACGGCGGCGCCAAGAACCAGCACCGAAAGGGCGGCGACGCGCCCATGCTCGACAGGTTATACGTGTGTCCCATGTGCTTCAAGTACTCCAAGGAGCTCGTGGCGTGGTGGGGCCACGTCCGCATGTGCGAGCGCAACGGGGTAGTGCCGGGACGGAAGGTCTACCGGCACCCACGGGGTCGGAGGCTGGTGCGCAAGGAAATTGCGCGGACGACGGGGAAGAAGACGAATGTTGCGCCGAAATATACCGAAGAGTATGTTACTGATGAGGGGGAGTGGAGTGTATGGGAAGTTGATGGCGAGCAGGATGTGGTGAGTACCCGACCCTGGTCCCTTTTCTGGTTTTCTCATAGTGAGAGAAGACTTCTGCGAGGCAGACACATTTTGACTAACACAATTCACGCCAGCTCTTCTGCCAGAATCTTTCCCTATTCGCAAAACTCTTCCTCGACAACAAGTCCGTCTTCTTCGACGTCCGCGGCTTCAACTACTTCCTCCTAGTCTACACACCCCCGGCCCCCAAACCATACCCTTCCTCCCAACAAGACTCGACGGCAACAGCGACAGCATCAGCGCAGCCGCCACAACCGCCCCCGTCACCACCACCACGTCCACACATTGTCGGCTTCTTCTCAAAAGAGAAAATGTCGTGGGACAACAACAACCTAGCCTGCATCCTCGTCTTCCCGCCCTGGCAGAAAAAGGGGCTCGGCGCACTGCTCATGGGCGTGTCGTACGAGATCTCGCGGCGCGAGGGCGTGCTGGGCGGGCCGGAGAAACCTATTTCGGAACTAGGCAGGAAGGGGTATAAGCGGTTTTGGGGTGGGGAGATCGCGAGGTGGGTGTTGGGGTGTCCGAGTAACGGTCGAGTAGCAGGTGACGCGGATCCGGCGTTGTTGGTTGACCTCGAGGACTGCAGCCGGGCGACGTGGATCGCGTTGGATGATTGTCTTGCGACGTTACGGGAGATGGGTGTTGTTGAGGAGGCTGGACTGGGGCCTGGGAAGCCACCGGCTAAGAAGAAGAAGGTGAAGAAAATAGCTCGGGAGGGCGATGCTGACGAGGAGGCGGTTGAAGAAGAGGATGAAGAGGATGAGGATGTCGAGATGGAGGACGCGGATGCTGGGCCGCGACCTGATGTACCAAGGGTGAAGGTTAATAAGGCGTTTGTATGGGAGTGGGTTGCTGCGAATGGAATTAGTCTTGAGAGGATATGTGATCCGGAGGGGTTTGTGGAGGGGTATGCTATTAAACAGCCGGATGTCGAGGAGGAGGATGACTGAAGCAGATATACCGAAGAGGTTTATTGATGACATGACGTTAAATGCCTGGGTAACTCTGTGTTTGGGCGTGTTGCAGTTGTGATCATCGGGAACGCCGTCTGCTGACCAACGAGTAGTAAGTTTCTTCGATTAACGAATTGGATGTCGAGATGAAGAATGAAGGCTGTAGTCTCCTTGACTTTAAATGGAAAAAGTCGCGAGTATTCTCCCTCATCATCTTATCCGTACGCTCTGGGCGGATTTGTGATGTGTTGCCGATGATGCCGATGATGCCGACGACTGTAGCCATTTTCATCTCGTGGTAGTGTATTTCATCTATGTTACCCAAACCACTCAAGGCTGCCTACTCATGGGTATTTCCCAAACTCCCTCAAATTGGGTTTACTTCAGCCGCCTCTTCGTGCTTGAGGTGATTGTTCCTTACTTGTTTAATATCGAAGGCGACTCCCAGCTCGTGCTTGAGAAATATGAGCAAACTTAGTGGAAATGAATTCAAGATAGGATAAGTAAAAAAACCTATAATTATTAGAAAGGAGGATTATAGTAACAAGCGGTAAGACCTCTTGAGAAGTACGTTTGAGGGCTTTAAAATAAGAAAGGCTTTTCAATATTAAATTAATCACAATTAAATTTAGTAGTTTTTCATGTATAAAGATTGGTCATTTTACGTTACATCCATTTATCTTCTAGACTAAGGAAATATCACTTTCTCAGGGACTTGAAAGTTATTGGTTAAGATAATTTGAGTAAATTTTTAAAGAAAGTAAGTTGTGATCGGCAAACCTGCTTAGAGCCTATACATCATTTACGAAATTCTGCCAAGCTGATGTCACAATGAAGTAAGCTTCTTGACTTCACGAAGCGCATCTCTCAAATTATTCCTCTTGGCTTCTTAGGGGTTCAGGTTGCTCTCAACCAACTGACCAACAGTTTCGATACTCGTCGTTTTCCTTGATAATCTTTCAGACCGACGTTCCCAGCTGGCGTCGCCTTGTTAGTAGATGATTTGCCCGAAATCCCGTACAGAATCGAGTACACTCTGATTGAGAGCACCATGTTCTGTCGAGCGCGAGATTAGAATGAAGCGCTAGAGCCTCTCAGTAGTATTATGTGTATCATATCGTACAAACTTCCTCAAAGGCACAATCCCGTGTGTGTTAATCATTTGGGCCAAATGAAGCCGGAGAGAGTTACTTACCCCATGGTTCATATCACAACTTTTTTTTCGTTGAAAAGTCTCCATTGAAACCTGATATTTCTATCGGAGGTTGCCTTACATGCCAAATTGCGTTGTAAAATCCAGGACATCAAAGACGGGAAATGCCGGCTCTCTATTCCTGTTTCCTTATGTATTGTTCCGATACGGATTGGAAATTACAACTTGAGGCTTGGCAAGGTAGTTGACGTATGCGTAGAACGATTTGACGAGCCGCAATTTAAGTGACGCGGCGGGCCCCGCTCTATTGATTGTTAGGTTTTCCAACATGGCAAGTAGGCTCGGATGCCCACTCGTTAAAGCTTGACAAGCTTATTCACTAGCTCGCCGACGGCTTTCAATCTTGATGTTGTTTCTCGGGATATAACCAATTCTAGAGGTTCTTTATTCCTACTCTTGTCTCTACCATCGCAAACATCTCAATCAACCATCACAGCGATATAAATGCGTATGGAACTTGAACATCCTTCGCCTTCACAACTTGAAAGCTGTATGTGAGAAGCTGGCTGCCACACGGAGCCACGTCGCATGGATTTGTTAGTAATATGGCACGTCTTGCGCTACATCTGAGCAGTGAAATGCCGTATTCTTACAAACTTGACCATCACGTGTTCCTCCATCGTTACCCTTACACATCTGCGCCTTCTGAGGCAACCACCGTCGGCTCGGCATGCCCGAACCTAGCGGCTTTCATGGGCATACGTAGCCTCGGGAGGCTCTTGTAAGTCGTGATGATCATAATTGACGGTGATATTGTCGCTGGACATCATATGTTGCTCTCATACCTCTTGCACTCGGACCCTTCCACTGGTGAGGCGGTGTGTGCAGCCCAGCCACCTATGATTTTCCAAGTAAGATGACGAAAAAGATCCAGAATGTTTGAAGAACCGAGTCTCGTTCAATGCGCTCACGTTACAAGTTTTTTCAGCCTCACCAGCTCTTGGAGAGATCTGAAGAAAAAAGGAGCTTCTAGAAATCCCAAAAGTTTCCGCATTTAGCCATCGACGCCGGGGTCGTCTCCCACATCACGTTGTAGATCGGGCCGCGCAATCAATCGGTGCGGCTTCCCCCCCTGCCCCCCCGGTAGGCATGTCACAGCATCAGTCGAAACACGAAAATGCGGGGACCGCAAAGACCCAAAGAGGATTGCGAATCTACATGGCAACGTCAGAGCTCAGAAACCCCCAGCTTTCCGTGATGCGACTCCTTGTTTGAACCCCTTTCAAGACTTTTCCCACTATTGTTACTCTTGTTCTCCGAACCGGATGGGGTCCCGAAAACAAGCTCCCGCTCCCTCTCCCCACAAGGCTTCCCGGCAGGACCGCAACGGCAAGAGGGAGCCAAGCCTCAATAGAGAATTGAGGCTCAGAGCCACATTCCCGGGGGCCTCTGGGGCTCTGCCGAATCGTTTATTCGCGTTAGACGTCGGACTAGTCTCCTTTCTGATGACTTTTTACCTAATTCAAGCTTCGTAATCGTTCGATTGGAGGCTGGGTTCATCCTCCCATCGCAGGCCTTCACACGCCTTTGCAGGCAACGTCAATGCTCGTTTGAGGTTCGGCGGACGACGACATGCCATCTAAACTCCCGATGTTGCAAGATGCTGGGTTGGTGATGTCGCGATGTCCACAGCCCGTCAAGTGTTCGACATGCCGGGCTATGCTTCGACGCTGCGTTCTAGACATCGGCAAACACGGCCCTGGGGGGAAACGTCAGCTGAATGGCAACATGAGACGAGCTGGATGATGGGATCAGTGGAGCTGAAAGTCTTCATGTTGCTTGTCAATGGCGACAAGTCTTGAGGATTCATTTGGCTATAAAGACTCGCTCGATCTCGAGGAAATCAGGTTCTTTTTTCTCATCATTCTCATCAACAGTTTCTTAACTTTACCTCAACATCCTTTCTAACTCTTCAACCTTCTCCCGTGCTGTGCACATCTAACTTTAGTCATATTCACTATTGTCTCTTGATTCTTCACTTCTTCGATTCTTTCGACGATACCCAACTCTCTCTCTCACCTCTATACTGTCATTACTCGACTTTCTTGACCAAGTCTCCAATACCTAGTCAAAATGCGTTACACCACTCTCACCGTTCTCGCTATTGCCCTTCTCACGGGTAATGCCTTGACTGGTAAGTGCTCTCACGGACATCGTATAGAGTCAGTGACTAACTATCTTTTTTCTAGCTCCCGCTCCTCAGGGCGGTGCTGGTGCCATCGGAGGTGGTAACGGGGGAGGTGCCGGCAATGGAGCCGGAGCCGGAGGCAACACCGGAGGCAACACCGGCAACACCGGCAATGCTGGTAACACCGGCAATGCTGGTAACACCGGCAATGCTGGCAACAACAACAATAACAACAACGCCGGCAACAACAACCAGCAGCCCCCTCCTCCCCGTCCTACCAACACCAACAACAACCCTAATAATGCCAACCCCAACAACGCAAACAACGGAAATGGTGCGAACGCTGGGAACAACGCCAACAACGCCGGAGCTGCTGGCAACAACGCCGGCAACAACGCCGGCAACGCCAACAATGCCAACAACGGCAATGCGAACAATGTGAACAACGGAGCTGCGGGTGCCAACGGCAATGCGGCTGGAAACAACGCAAACACCGCCAACAACGGCAACAACGCCGGCAACGGTAACTTCGCCAGAGCCGTGACCCCCAACCAGCAGCCTCCCCCTCCTCCGGCGAACAACAACCAGCCTCCTCCTCCCAAGCCCAACAACCGCAGAGCCGTGAACCCTCAGGCTGCTCCTCCCCCTCCTCCCAAGGACAACACGCCTCCCCCTCCTAAGCCCAACGGTGCCAGAGCCATCAACCCGAACCAGCAGCCTCCTCCCCCTCCCGCCAATGACAACACTCCCCCTCCTCCTAAGCCTAACAACCGCCGGGCGGTGAACCCCAACCAACAGGCCCAGGCTCCTCCTCCTCCCGCCAACGACAACACTCCTCCTCCCCCCAAGCCCAACGGAGCGAGAGCAATCAACCCCAACCAACAGCCTCCCCCTCCCCCGGCCAACAACGAGCAGCCTCCTCCCAAGCCCAACAACCGCAGAGCGGTCAACCCTCAGGCCGCTCCTCCTCCTCCACCCAAGGACAACAACACCCCTCCTCCTCCTAAGCCGAACAACGCCAGAGCCGTCAACCCCAATGCGCAGGCGCCCCCTCCTCCTCCTCCCGCGGAGAACCAGCAGGCTCCTCCTCCCAAGCCTAACAACGCCGCTAGGGCGGTGAACCCGAACCAGCAGGCACAGGCTCCTCCTCCTCCCCCGGCTAACGACAACACCCCTCCTCCTCCCAAGCCCAACGGCGCTCGGGCTGTCGACCCCAACCAGAGACCCCCTCCTCCTCCTCCTGCCACCAACCAGCAGGCTCCTCCTCCTGCTATCTAAGCGTAGCCTGTGACGAGGTCGCCAATGATAGTGACTGGTACTCTGTCAGGACTTGGGAGAATTAGTCGGGAATCATGTGGGACTGTAACTTATCAGAGCTTTGGAGACAGAAAGATGATCTGGTGGCAAAACGGTGCGAATGGAGAGGCGGCTAGGATTAATGAATGATGTATAACTCAGACTTGTCTTGCTCTGACTCGGACTTAGGATCTAGATTCAGGGCACATGTAACTCTAAAGGAACATAACAGACTACTATTGTCTCGAAAAAGAATATCTCCTCACCTGTGACTGATAATTTGCAGGTTTGATGGACTTGCTAGAGACTAGTACTATAGCTGTCTTCAACTCAAGGAGCTCACATCAAGTACTTCTAGATTCAAAGTGTTATTAGGAAAATTCGAGACTTGTCGATGGACGATATAGATGGACATTGTCTCAGATGATAACTCTTAGCCACTCAAAGCTCCCGACTCAATCCCCCCTCAACATCACAAGCAATCCATTGAAAGCCTTCTTCCTCTCCTCCTCCCCACAAGCGTAATGCTTTGCCTGCCCAATAATGATATCATCCACCTCCCCCTTCTCCAACTCTTCCCATGTCTCGTCAATGAACTGCTCCAGCGGCATACCCACACCAGCCCGTCCCGCTGCGACCAGGTCCGCCTGCCGCGTATGCAGCTCAGTCTTGACAGCAGGCGGAACGATCTCAATGACGCGGATGCTCCCGGTGTGAGGCCCGCGATCGGCGAGCTGAGCGCGCAAACTCCAGGTTAGCGATCGAAGTGCGGCTTTGCTAGCGCAGTAGTTTGCGCAGCGGGGCATGGGCACGATGGCCAGGCCCGAGGTCACGAGTATTACGGCGGTCGACGTGGAGAGGGACTCGAAGTGGGGGAGGATGTGCGTGGTTGCGATGAGCGGGGAGAGGTAGTTTAGGTTTAGCTCGTTTTTGGCTGTTTCTAGGAGGGCGGGCGTGAAGTCAAACGTATTTTGGACGCCTGCGTTGAGAATGAGGCAGTCTAGCGTGGGATACTTGGTTGTCATTCTGGGTAGTTGTACATAATCAGTCGATGTACAGCGTTTAGGTAGTGTATTTGAAGACGAATATCTGAATGAGGCGGGGAAGGAATAGGTCTAGGAGTTAGAGCGGATCAAAGTATTCAAATGTACTTACTCTTTGATCCATAATTCAATGCCATCGATATTAGAAACATCGTAGACTTCGGTGGCAACTTTCGAGCTTCCATGCTTGGAGAGTATTTGCTCCAGGCGATCTGCGCGGCGACCCACTGCAATAACAAAGACACCGTTCGCGACCAGACGCTCTGCTAAAGCATAGCCAATGCCGGATGTGGCGCCAGTGACGAGAGCCGTCTTGTATGGAAAAGGCATCCTTTGGTCTCTGGACTTCTTGGAACTTGCTTTGATTGCGGTGTTTTTGGAAGACGAAGTAGTAAGGCCTAGTAGACATGTTCAATAGTCACCAGTACCATATTTGGAACGGCAACTGCGAAACTTCTTATGCGATCTGATTTTGGCCCAATGACCCTAGAAAGGCTTCTCCAAAATACAATTTGGTTCAAAATGTCGGAGGAAAATATCACAAAACGCCGATAAAGTTGTTATTATCACCCTAACACGCGCCCGTTTTTGGTTACCTATCCGATCCAGATAGGTAATCGCCAAGCATGTGCCAAAGAAAAGCCGAGCGACGTTTGAATCGAGACATGAACCCTGCAAGTGCTCCCGAAGGTCTGGATCAGCGCCTAGTAGTATTAACCCCAACGGGCTAGCGTTCCGTAGTTGTGAACTCTAAAACTCTAGTCAGACGGAACATCATCTGAACTTTTGAAATCAAAGGAATTAATTGAAGTTTGCAGTCCGTATTCAGTGAGATTTCGAACCTACAGGTCGCCACGCTTCTTTTGTGGTACCCTTATGGAATGAAACTTGCGCAGAGCGGTGGCATCTTTGCCCACGGCCGGAGCCTATGGCATTCTACGGATCGGGCCGACCACCTCGGACAATTCACAAATAGGCCTCTACCGAGCTCCGTCATTGTCAATAGTGTTGACAAGCCGCATTGCCAAATTACCTTCATTCCGGGCGAGTCTGTTGAATCAGTGTGCAGACACAGGATCTTGACCTACATACACAGCTCCATTCTTCCTCACAGCTTCAAGGCCCTGTGGAAACCGAAAACGAGCGCAAATTCCTCTCAACTTCCGAGCCTTTGCTAGCCAAGCAAGTGGGTGACAAAATGGGATATCGGCAAAAAAATCATATTACCCACTTACAACCTGTTCATAATTCTTAGCTTTCTTATTCTTCTTTTTATTCTTCCTATCGATATTTCTACTATTACTTCTATTCTCCATAGACTCACTGAAGATTACTCCCTGAAAAGCACTCCGTAAAGAATAAAGAATAGTAGGAAAAGAGCTGAAGTCATAGGGTGGCAACTGATCATGTCACTCACTTGCCAAGTATCTACCACAGGATTTATGATCAACGAGTTTGATGTTATCTTCATTAAGCTGCAATAGCATAGCTACCGACCATGGCATACAGAGCCCAATAATCTGCAAGTTTACCTGACGAAATCAGTTGAAAGACGTCACTCGCCAACTTGATTCCGTGTTCCGCCATACGCAGAAGAATCTGCAAGATCCATTCCTTCATATAAGAGTCCTCCGTCAGACAAAAGGAGAGGTACAATGGCGTCAACATTGTACAGCAATGTAGCCTCTGTAATGGTGGTAGGGTATATACTGGTAGACTCGTGGCGTCACCCCCTATCAAGAGCAAAAACTGGGGCACGGCGGCGCACAAGTGCCGATTGAGTTCCCGGATAATCTCCCGGGTCTGACTCTTGATGGTGTGATCTTCGTCGTGGCCCATATGTTGAATAATGCTATTCAGCTCCAATCGCATCATCCGAACAGCATTAGTCACCTGCGTCGCGTGGTGACTCGGATAGACGTCGTAATACCGTCCAAAGATGAGCGGGTTATACGCAACCGTGAAAGTCCGCGTAGCCTTCCACGAGCGCTGGAGCCGCTCCTGCACAAGGGCCATGTGCTCGTCCAAGATCTTGGCCCGACGCAGCACCACATTCGGATAGGCTGCGCCCGAGGCCAGGCTCTGCGTGTAGGCGCGGAGGTTGACGATGCCGACGACGAGACCCGTGAAGCTCCATTCAGCGTCTCGGACGTAGCTGTTGAGGTCCTCGCGCAGGGCCAGCAGCGAGGGCGGCACGGGGACGCCGGCGATGCCGCAGCTCTTCATGAGGGCTACGGCGGCGTTATTGGCTAGCTGGCAGGTGGTCGGGTTGGAGAAGTCGGTGTTGGCGCGGTCGCAGACCATGTGGAGAGCGCCCCGGGCGTGGCTTAGCCACGATGCGGATTGGTGCTCGTGGCGGTTGGCAATCTTCTCGTAAAGGTCTAGGAGAAGTGCTGACTGGACGACTTCGTCGTTGTTGCTGTCATGTTGGAAGTCGCTGCTGTTGCTGGTGTTCAGTGCCGATCTGACGCTTCTGATGGCAGCGACGTATTGCTTGCTGGCAAGGAGGAGTAAATCATGCCGGTTGAAGTGGAAAGACATGAAGGCGAGACTAGCTGCGCCGAGACTAATGTGTAAGTGGCCATCGGGTGGGGAGGTCGTCAGGAGAGCGGGGAGAGTGTCGAAGGTGTGGCTGAGCCCGACAACGTAGAGGGAGAGGAAGGCGTCGCGGGAGATGTCCTCCCATGTGAGATGAGGAGGGTCCCGTATCGAGACGTGAGAGCAAGAAGCAACAGCAGCGGTCAATCGGGCCGAGACCTTTGAAGCCGTGGTTTTGGTCTCGTCACGGAAGAGAAGTTGAGTAAAGTCGCGGTACCCATGACAGCTCAGTTTGACTCTCCGACACTGGCCGCATCCTCCAGGCGCGAGGTCGCACTACAAGTTGGTCCCGTCGATTAGCTCGCAGAAATCACAACTGCCGAAGACAGTTACGTGCTGATCCAGGGGTTATTGTTGAGGCATATCATACCCGGAGCTTCCTTTTTCTGCAGGGGAAACAATATTTCGACGGTCGACCGTTATTGACCATTGCGCGGCAAGCGAACACCGATGATTCGTATCTACCCAACTTCCAAAAGGAGGAGGTGTAGAGGATAGAAAAGTAATGGACTGAGTGCGTCATGAACTCCAGTTCGTATCCTGATCATTATGTCTCATGGAGTGTCCTGGTGGCCAGCTGGCGGCCAGGTGTCGATCTGGGCTCGCTCTCGGTCTTTTACATGGCTACCAGATAGTCTGAGTGAACGTTATGGTCAATGAGTCAGCCGTTGCAGGTTAAGTTTACATGGCTTCATATCTGACGGATTGTTCTTTATTAATAACGGGTCAGTATGTATACCATAACATCAGAGGCCGAGTCCGCCTCGAAGAGCCAAAAGGCTCACAATCAGGACGCCGCGGCATACCCCTGGAAGCTAATTGCCATTGTCTTAGAGACTAGCGTAAAGTCAAGCTTTAGGGGAACACAGTCACCACTATCCGTACTCCTCACCCAAGCTATGATATCTCCAGTCTTTGTTCACATATCCGGCATAGTGAAACGGTGGAGCAACTTAGATGTCACAGAATCTAAGATGAGGCGCAAGCCCTTTAAGATTATAAGTGGTTGCAGAATTCGGCCATGATCCATCTGACACTGTTTTCATGAACACACAAGTCCTCACTTAATCACCCCCAACCAGAGCCTCACATCGAAAATGGGCGAGAGAAGTTCCGAGGACGGGATCGGCCCCGGACACCCAGCCTGTAATTTCCGACAACATCATCAGAATAAGCTCAAAGCCTCGGCCTTTATCATCATAACTTCATCTCGCAGGCGCTTCACAAAAGGAGGCTCAAGCAGCAGAACACGATTCCCCAGAAAATGCTCCGCGCGCCGACTCCACGCCACAATCAAAAGATTCGCCAGCGTCATATTCTCCTCATCCTTGAGCTCCCACAAGTCCTCGCGACAAGCATACATCTTCTCAATGACAGCCCACGTCCTCTCCGCCAAGGATCCGGACACCCGGTTCTGAAGCTGCGCTCCCAGGTAGTAAAATGTCTGAATCTTAAAGTCGAGGTCAACGAGCCACGCAAACTGGCGGCCCGCGAGCCGCCGCTGCTCGAGCAGGATCTCCAGCGCCACCAGGCCGACGTTGAAGAACTTGTCTTCCGGGCCGTGTATCTCCGTGCCCCATTCCGGCGCGGCCTCGAGTGGCGTGATGATAATCTGGACAATGGCAGCGAGCGAGGTGCGGGCGTAGAGTGCCATTGCGTGGAGCGGGTTCGCGGCGGAGTCGGAGAGGAGACGACGCTCGAGGGGCCCCAGCGTCCGGTCGAACTTTTGTAAGGCATCTTGTATGGCGGTGACGAAGGGTGAGCTAAAAGGGTGCGGCGAGGGTATGGCAGCGTGCGCCGAAGCCGAAGCCGGGTTTGAGGAGGCCTGGCCCCAGAGCACCTCATCGACGGACGGGATCTGCATAGCCATGGCGAGTGCTTCTGTTTCGTATGTATGTACACAGTAAGACATCTCTGATGGACCTTCTCGGACACTGGGTGCTTCCTTCATAGAAGGATGTAGGTCTTCGTCGTTGATATTGAGCGGGATGAGCGTGTCCCGGCTGGATGGTAGCACCTTGGCGCTAATGCATGAGGCGGCACTCGTTTTGGCCTCTATAAGAACGGTTTGCCACCATAGACGTCGTCTCATTTCTATTTGGAAGGGTGAGAAGCCGAGACGCGTCCCGTCGATATGGAGACCGAGACGGTGAGCTATGTTCATGACGATACCGTTGAGGATCCATGGGTCTACCGTATCTCTCAAAGTTCGTTGGTGTAGCTGCGTTACAATCAGCCACGTGCCATTGGTAGAGACAATCCAAAGCATGATGCTCTTCAGATGAGGTACTCACTGAATAAAATATCAGGCTCCTTATCGTATCTTCGTTGAACCGTTTCAGATAGTTATATCGTGCCATGGCAGCCTTAAAGCCCCTAGACAAGACCGTCGAGGCATCCTTCTTGGACCAGCGTAGCATGTCCCAGTGCTCCTTTTGCGAAAGAGAACCAGATGCTGCGAGGAAGATGGAGAACAAAAGCCCCTGTGTGACGGGCGGGATGGCGTGAAAGTTGGACACTGCATCTGTAATGTTGGCTTGGAATGTCGGAACGTGAAGTATCTTGGTGACAGGATAGACTCTGTCCAAGAACACTCTCCACAAGACGATGATGTTAGGTGGAGATGGGACGCAGTTGTAGGAGAGCCCCGAGGCGGGAGATATGCCTATTGAGGCATGGTGCTGATTGAGGAAGGCGAGAGCAGGTAGCCATGTCGACTGCTCGCTTTCCACCTCAAAAAGGGCACGTATGGTCTGTTCCTATCATGTTGACCCTATGTGAGTATAAAACAAGGCTGATATGGTATGTGTATGCACGAGGAAACGATCACAGCAATGAAATCGTCTTCAGGACCAAGTGCTGTCGAGCAATAGGAAGGAAGATGTTTACTTACATCCTCGCGAGTCGCAGACGCCGTTTTGCTGTCACGGAATTCGACCCCGTTTTTGGTCTGTACGAGCCATCCTGGCGACTGGACTTTAGGTCTATGATAATCGTGGTTCTGGTCGTCTATTGGAGATTCTTGACCGGTCAGGGCGGCTGGCGTTCCATTGGCGAGATAGATTGGCTTCGATCCCATACATTCCTCCAAAAGCGATTCGATGCTCGCAAGTTTGTCGCGTAGCTCATAATGGTTCTTCCTTCTAGGCTTGCGTGGACCCGATGGTGGTGGAGCAAGGCAATGGCGGCCATGCTGCGTGGGAGTTCATGTTAATATAAAGAGGGAAGTGGTGGAGGAGGATGGAAGATGGCACGAATGAGATACAAGTAGTAGCAGCAAGAGCTGCGAGGGAAAAGGAGAGTTTTACTAAAGACAACACATACTGTGATGCATTCTGAGCAGGGGTACTTTCGGTCGCATTTTAGTTTCCGCTGCCGGCACTCTACACATGCAGGGTCGCGCTTCAGGGGCCTGTCACTCAGGGCCCGCGCAGCCACCTCGTGGCTACCTTGTTGTTGGCTGCCGACAGTCGCCATGGTTGGGTCCTCCATACTTTGTCGGCACACAGCGGAGTCTTGGCGTCGAGTTGCAGGATGTCAAGTGCGGACGGGACGGGACGGCGAGGCGGTCTGGTATGGGAGATGAGCGAATCGGACGATTTTACACAAACTTTACAAAAAAAAAAAGAGGGGGATCTGGGGACAAGACATATGTCGTAGTCAAAAGATTCGTAAATAATAAAAGGGGAAATCTAGGGTTTTCGCACGACGTTCTCTTACGATCGGGTCTCGTAAGGCAGACTCTGGACGGTGGGGCAGGGAGATCTCCCGGGTCCGGAAATCTTTTGTTGTCCGAGGCCCCGCCCCGAACCGGCAGATGAGTGGATTCTCCCAACGCCAAAGTGGGTACTCGTACCCGTACGAGTCTAGGAATGTTCACCACCTGCGTAAGCTCAAGGAACTAACCCTTGAGCAGCTGAGGCTCTTCAGGTGGCGCTTGTTGATTGAAATTCCTTAATTTAGTTCTGTAATCCATGATTGGATAATGGGTACCTACCTGCGATAGTTACGAATGATGGGATTAGGCATTCACAATCACGACTGCCCTAGCCTCCTATCGGGCAACGCTGTTAAATGACAGCAGCCATGTCACTGTTCGACTGGGGCTGAGCAACTCATTGGCAAATAAGAATCGCTTGTTGACTCAGGCAATCCCGATACCTGAGAATGCTTGAGAGCCGCATTGGTCACTTTTACTTTGCGTGACAGACCACGTAGGCTTAGTACGAGAAGTGTAATAGGCAACCTGAGAGCGCAAGAATCCAAGTTTCAATAGGAATTTGTATCGCCATAGAGATAGTTGTATTTGCCAACTGAGATGCATCTTGTTGTGGCTTCTTTGTGAACACTCCTGAAACTAGCACAAACAGCTCCAGTCTGAGCCGTGTCATTGTGAAGTTACAATCCTGTATGATGTATCCTGGAGTTGGCATTCCTGTCAAACGGTAGCTGGTCCGAACCACTTGATTTGAGGGGTGGCGAAGATTCAATTGGCATTTATTGGCATTCTACGCAGTACCGAATAAAGGATGCCTCAATAGCAGGTCAGACGGCTTGCTGGATGTTGAGAAAGGGACCGTTGATAGCCCCTAAGATGGCCTGGACTCGCGGTCGTATTGGAATCCCATCTCGATACCTGGAGATGCATATCGTCAGTGTCGTCGTATCGAAACAAAAAATCTGACATGGTCAAGTATCCAAAGTCCCCTCCTTCTGAGCCTCTTCGTTCGTTCATCTTTTTCCTACTTCTCTGCATCTCGCTTCCATAGCATGTTCAACTGATAATTAACACTACGTTCAACCATCAAAAACCGAGTTTCATCGGTTCACCTCTCTCTATCCATTACATATCCTCATACTCTCCAACACAAACCAAACGAGTTACAATGGTACATAACAATGCCTCACCCCCTCCTACTCAACTTAGTACTCCTCCTTCTCAACCTGCCCAATAGGATACACCGCCTACGCCACTACCTGACTCACCTAACTCAACTATCTTCCCCCTCGCCTTCACCCCCCTTCTCGTTCTACCCACCTTCTCGCCTCTCACTTCTCAAGCCTTATCACGCCATCACCACTCTCTCCGAAGTCCCAAGCTACTTTTTCCCGCGCAAAACTCACATCATACCTCGTAGGGCTGCTCCATGAATGCCCTTTATCATACTTTTTTATACTCACCTCCTGACCCCGACCCATCGTTACCGCAGCAATTTCGGTAACACTCAAGTACCTCGCCCTCTGTTCTGTAGTCTGCTACGAGGCCGTCGCTGTACCCTTGAATCTTGATCCGTTCGGATCTTGAATCGCTAGTGGCTCAGATTATCGGCGCCAGCTCGATGACGATTGATGAGCGGCCGCTACCTGAACCGCGCAACGAGAATCACAGTGAATATCGCTGAGAAGGCTTTTTCGGACGTCGTAGCGTTCCTTGTTGTTAACACTGTGATAGTATTCCGAGTTTGATGATTACTCTTCATCCATGTCATGAGAAACAAGTTCTGCATTCAAGAAGGGAGGTCCATGGCCTCGTCTCCGTGCATGGCTCCTGCTCTACCAGCTGCTAACGACATCAGGCATATGGCCCTAGTTCGCAATAACGACGATGTACCGCTTTCCAGCGCGTATAACGACGCCAAAGCACGTGGGACGAGCCTGAGTCCATGTGTAAGCGCTGAGAGTTTCACCGACGTGGCCATTTTGACCCGCTGCGCTTACAAGTTCTAAGCTGTATTACTCTCCGCAATGGTTTCAATGCCTGTTCGACTCATATTGTATCTCTGAATCACCCTTTACTTTTACCCGCGGAGTAGAAAGAACCTCAACCGCAACTGCGATATCCAAAGAGATTACTACGTGTTGAGCTGGAGGTTCCTCAGGTTGGACGCTACAAATAATATCGTTTTGCGACCCGGGCCGTACAAGTTAATTGCACTCAGGCATCCTTCTTAACTCGTCCTGAAGTGAGAAAGCCGAAGAAGAGCAAAGGTGATGATCGTGAAGAGCACAGGGTTTACCAGATGAAAAAGTATCAACTGGTTACAATTCTAGTGGGGAAATGAAAATGATTTCCTAGATTTATACTCTCTCTCTTTCTCTCTCTCTCTCTCCTCTCTCTCTGTCTCTCTCTCTCTCTCTCTCTCTCTCTCTCTCTCTCTCTCTCTCTCTCTCTCTCACCAATTCACAGCCTTGGCCGACAGTGCTGCTATGAACCTTTACACTATCCTCGCCAGAATAGCAGCGGCCCTCAAATCTTTCCATTGTGTTGCTTATACTGAATAATACGAGCCGGGAGAACAGACCATCTCGATGAATCGCTTTAGATACCGGCCATACGGCCGTAAAGCGAGACTCCTTGATGTATTCTACTCAGTCGAGCCATATCTAGGAATCGGGCTCATGATTACTAATATCTACACAAGGTACCATCAAATCGATCAATGCCAAGTGTGCTTCTGTTCGCATGGCCCGATGGAAGAACTTCTGATATCATGCCTTTCTGAAGATGTTTTTGACGATACTCATTCCACGGGCAACCCTTGGAGATTAATGATGTAGTAATGTCTGTATGAAAAGCGCAATCGCGGGGGCCATGTAATCGTATGAGTTGAGGAGGCTGTGCCGGTATCTATTTCTCGATAATCCTCATCTGCAACGCGCCGGCACGAGTCTTGAAATATGTGGACCCACTGCATCGGTAACCTTTGTGCCTATGTACCAGTTCTAGACTCGATCTACTCAGCCGCCCAAGTTCTCGTTCATCTCGTGGTGTCCAATCAAACGGTGCCGCACGTACGCAGACGTTGCCCCCAAACTAGTCTTCCATACCGCTGCCGATCAGAGACACCAATATGCGCGGTTGACAGTTGCCACCATCTCCGTTCAGATGGTGGGGAAGGGGGACATGAAGAGCAAATAAACAAGTACTAAGAGCTGAGATCGCTACCGGGATCCTAGATCTCGGGTCCGAGACGATCGTGTTCTAGAAAGCGGGAGCATAAGGGGTCGCACCGAGCCTCATCTCAGTCTTTCGCCACCAACGCCTGTTGGAAAAGAATCAGGAGGGCGCCACAATTTGTCGTTCGTTGCGGCCGCGCCCGGGACGCCGCCTCTTCCCCACTGAGTAGGTAATTCGGGGGAAGCGTTGCGGCACGGTAGCACCAGGTCCTCCTCACCAGCAAGACCGATCTCCCGAGAATCCTCAGTGGCCAATGAGTAGTAAATCGGATGCCCGAAGGGAAGAAAAGATGGGCGGCAAACCTGAGATTAGGTTGGGAAACAAAGCTTTCTCTTAGCGCGCTTCCTGTATCTCTGCAGTGAACCCGAACAAGCGGTCTTCTACACAGTATGCTTTTCCTGCTTCGTTTGTGGGCAGTTACCCAGATGATGGTGGGGGGAGTGGAAGGCAATGCGACAGCCGACTGAGTTTGGCAACGCCGATCTCAAGATCGGGCTCACTTGCTTGTGTGTGCTTGGCAGCTTTGTCCAGGGGAAGGCTATGGGGTTGGCCCTGGCAGCCCATGTGATATGAATACCACTGTTTGCCGGATCTGCAAACTTCCAGTTCATCCCCTACAAAGAGGGGATCCCGGTCAGCAAACAACGTTTGCCATGTTTGTTCTCTGGTGGAGGCCTTTCGGCTAGATGGATGGTTCCAAGAGCACAATCCGAAGCGATTGCAATAGGTGATTGGTCGCGATTTGTCCATGTGAGTGTGCCAGGACAACCCCAAGCTCCTTTCGCGTCGGCAAGAGCCCGCAGTGCAGACAAATTACAGCGAGGAGAATTCGCAGTGCCCCAACTGGGCCACGACCGTTGCTTCGCCACTGGGCCAACGGGAAGATTGCCTCGATCCTGGTCCATCTGTGAGATCGAACTTTTGATCTGTCACAAAACTGGCGGGTGCCCTTGGTGCCTGTCAAGTTTGCTCCGGGCTGAATCTCCAACATCTCCCCATCGAATGGGAGGCGGGGAATGGCGGCAAGCAAAGCCTTAGATAGCCTGGTCCAGTAGAGGCCGAGGTGAATGGTGAGTAACCTCGTTACTCGCTTGGGTGAAAACTAGTCGCCTGCAATAGATCAGCTGCCAAGCGCTATGCAAGAGCTCCTCACGTTCTTGCGAGGGACAGACGTTCGCGGAGCAGAAGCACCGGAGCAAGTGAAGGCCACATGGGCAACAGGGGTGATGAGTCTTGTCGGCACGCGACAGCTCAAGTTTACTAGCAGTCAGTACGGACTGTGACGCCAGGGGATGGCTTCGCCTCCGGTCCAATGGTCTAGCTCTTGGTGGGTTTACTGCTTTTCGAATTACACTCCCCTCCATGTCGTGCGCGTGGTGCCCGAGGCGAGGGTCTAGGCGGGTAGATCCACATCGATGGTGAATCGAGGCATTGTGACGGGTATCGAATGAGATTCTGCTAGATCTGCATAAACCGCGAGATGCGGAAAGATGGTGTTGGGAATGGGAATTTGACAGGT